ATTTGCACTTACCTGCATATATATGTTTTTCTCACATCGAACATTTACATAAAACCTATTGAAGGAAGGAGAATAAAGGCACTTATTCTTGATGTTAAATCATATACAACCCACCAGATATGAAGCAAGATATTTACATCTTTTAGATTTCATTCCAAAGATGCATGTTTATCAATTAATCATAGACCTGAATGAATAAAACACAGAGTGTTCACTGTCTTTTGAAAATGTTTTGATTCGAATAGCTATTATTAATCTTATTACGATTCTCAATGTAAATTTGGCTGCGGCATTGATACTTGATTGATCACACTGGAGACTGAAGACTAAACAAAAACGTTGTCAAGGTCATTCTATCCTTCAAATTCAATAATGGTACAAACCTTATAATTTCAAGGTATCTCCAAAAAAAGATTAGGCCACCCTTAAGAAATTCTTTGTTCGATGTTGCCTACCCATGCCTTGTAGGATTGGGTAGGTAGGCAGGTAGGTAGGTAGGGTTTTTTTTTGCCGACAACATAAGTTACATGTTTTAGACAAGAAAACGACTTTAGAACAGGAAAAAATCGATTTGTGTCAAAATTTTTTTTGGGTAGGCTGCTTTTTAGGTGGGTAGGTGGTCAACATGAAACAATTTAAATTTTATTTTTTGGCCTTATATCATAGCTATTGTGGCATTTACATAATCATACGTTATTTGATTGAAATATTAAAATGGTATTGAATATGTTTATGTTTTTAGATAAAAGGAGGATTTGAGAAATGAATATCCTGGCCTAGAAATTAAGAACTGAAAAAAAATGATATCTCCTAGGATGAAATATATGAGTTTTCTAACTCGTAAAATGCAGGAAATAATTGTGTACAAAATTGAAGACGAATTTTAAATAAAAACAAATAAGCTGGCCTAGCAACAGGTGGCGGTGAATCTGTACCCCCTCCCCCCTTCCCCCTTCTCCAAATCAAATGGTCGACATTAACTAGAAGAAAGGGTTAAGGTTAACTTATGATGGTTGTCCAATGCTTTAATTTTTGAAAGTAAACAATCACATCTGACTCACTAAAGTGAAAGGAGAAAACGCGAAAACGCGAAATGGCCGCATCCGGCCACCATAGAAACCTGTTGTTCAGTGGTTGTCGTTTGTTGATGTGGTTCATAAGTGTTTCTCATTTTTTATTCAGATTAGACCGTTGGTTTTCCTGTTTGAATGGTTTTACACTAGTCATTTTTGGTGCCCCTTTATAGCTCCGGGACTCGAACCCGGGATTTCTGTGTTACAAGGCAGCGCTCTAACCGACTTAGCTAAAAAAGTACTTTCTTAGCTCAATCACATACGGTTGACTATCTAAAGTATCTACTAATGAAGGGAGGCATTCCTGTCACACATGTAATATTTATTTCTGGCAGATATATGTCTGATGTGTTATGTATTGCTGTTTCATTAAGTTATATTCCAATTATTCCTTTATTGATAAAAACTTTAATAAAATAACCAGGGGCGGATTTAAGATTTTAGGTTAGGGGAGGCGCAAACTTTTTTGAGGTAAAATTATCGAAATATTCTTTATTAAGCTTAGGAAAACCCATGCTTTGCAAATTTCGGGGGGGGGGGGGGGGGGCACGCCCGCCACGCCCCCGCCTGAATCCGCCCCTGATAACTAACGGTTATTTACAGTATGTCACAGTCAATAAATACCACATTGGAATGAACTGCTAAATAATCCTTTCTTTTCCTTTCTTGTTCAAGAATCAACGCTTATTCATTGTATATAGACTGACGAGTGCTGTCCCCTGGCTTGATACCTACACTCAATCGACCAGATTTGAGACATATTTATCAGTCAATCTATAATACATCTTTATTCACAAAAAACCTTTGCTTATATACCAAAATCAAAAGAACATTAATTCTAAATCTAGAACCATCTATAAATAACTAGAGAAATGATAAACTATCTATTTTTTGTAACAAGGTAAATTCAGAAATTTGCTAACACTTTCTGAAACATAAATATACACAATGACTTTCACTATCTATCTAGAATATTCTAGCACGATTCATCACTATAATTCTAATAACGATGTAAATTACACAAACAATGCAAATAAAGGTCAATTGTCTTTATAATTGCGTACTATTAGCAAAAACTGTACTTAATCACAGATGATACATGCATCTTTTTTAATGGCTTGAAGATCCGACTCTTGGTTATATTACCAGTCATTATAATATTATCACCATCTATGATCTAAGCAAAAGTTCAGATATACTTGGATTAAATTACCTGTCAATATTGATGAAGATTTCCAATGTGTTTCTAATTGAATCTTCTGTAAATACAGTCTGTAGTGATGGCCATGTTGAATGTTATCTAGATTATTATATTTTGACATCAAACGACCTAAGGACCTCTTAATTTACTGATACAAATAGAATTTTCTGTTTCAAAATTGACCATGCGACATATCTCAACTGAACAAATTGAAGATGAGGTATTGTTGAACTAGAGTGCACATGCTAAAATGCAGTGTTCTTCCCAGGGCCTTTTGTCACCATGGTAATGGGATGCTATATTACTAGAATATGATGCTGTCTGAAATGATTTCCTTATGGATAGTGTAATGGGTGTGACGCTTTAATTTCTAGAAACAAGATGTTTTTTTCACAATTTGCTGTTTACCAGGATGCTATATGAAATTTGTAAGAAGAACACTGAGAATGTCTCACCTGCTTTACTGACCATGATTGATTTTATGTTGATACTAGTAGTCTTAAGGATAAAGTTTTACTACAAGTATCACATAAACAACATTATCAATGATCCATGCCAATGAGGTCGAGATCAGATAAACCAAGCCAGACAGATGTGTACACCTTACAATCATTCCATACACCAAATATAATTTACCTACTGCTTCTAGTATTTGAAAACAGGCCAAACCTCAAAACCTTAACATTGACCAATGAACCATGAAAATGAGATCAGTGAGATGAAACCTGCCAGACAGACATGTACACATGACAATCATTCCATACATCTCATATAGTTGACCTATTGCTTATAGTGTAGTATCTGAGAAAGAATCTTATCACTTAACCTTAACCTTGATCATTGATCCGTGAAATTAGGTCTAGGTCAAGTGAACCCTGTCTGACAGACATATAGACATTTGTAGCCAACTATGTGGTATTGATTTTGCTCATTGTTGAAGACTTATAGTTGTAAACTTCAATGTCATTTGGTCACTGTCTCTGGTGGAGAGTTGTCTCATTGGCATATCTTCATACTTTTATATTTCAAGGAACCCATATGCCAGATATAGTTATCCTATTACTCATACGTGAGAAATTCACAAGATAAAAAAAAAACATTTTTTTTTAAGCAGTCTCTGAACCATGAAAATGAGGGCAAAGACAATGGACACATGACAAATGGAAATTTCGTAATACAAGGCATCTGTATATAAGGTTGGAAGCTTCTAGGTCTTCTACCTTCTGAAATATAAAGCTTTATACAAATAGTTTATTCCACCGATGTCTCACATTCAAGCGTTACAAACACTATTATTATATCAAAGGGAACAGGACAAAGGCTTGAGTACTAAATTGATGAAATATCTACTTTAAATTAAAAAAATAATATTATCTCCACTTCAATTGAATATAAATCTACCCTATGATATCAAACTTTCCAGTAACAATAATTTATCTGAATGGGTATATATTTTAGGCACAGGACAATTTGATTAATTTCTTCTTTTACCTGAAACAACACAGGAGTTAGTTTTGCTGTTAAAATCCACTAGCCATGTTGAATCAAAATAACAATACAATTTATAAATATTTTATGGTTTTAATTAAAAAGTTTAATATAATTACATCATAATTTCATTTTTACAATTATCTTTTTATATATAAAATTGCATAATCCTGACTCCTCTTAAATAACAAGCAAACATTTTTCTGTTACATAATATGTATTTGAGTTTGACAACCCATAAAAATATACACTTTACTTTGAATGTGTACATGAGTATGTATTTCCAATATAAAATGCTTTTTTCGTGGATCAAAATGCATCACTTGTAAAACGTAGACTGAATAGTACCCTAATTGCATGCTTACTTCTTTACAACGAAGCACTTGATAAAACAATTTTTTCAAGTTATTTTTTGCTCTGACCAATATGAGTGATTAAAATTTCTTTTCAGGCAATGAATGATCCGTAAAAATTGTAAAAAATGTGAATAATAAAATTTATGATACTGTAAATGCAAATTTATCATACAAAGAAGCAGGTAACCATTTTCCTTTATTTTCTGACAATTTAGCACTTCCAAAAATCTAAACATGTTTGAGTATGGAAATTGTCTTCAAAATTTGTATCTAAAATAAAAATATTGTTTATTTCTCCAAACCAATCTCACAAAAAATTGCTGCTACTCCAAAATTTGCCAAGATTTATTTTTGACATCTAGATTTATTTAATTTTGGCAGTAAAAGGCAGTGGTGTTGTCTGTATGTATACTTGTAGGCTAAAGTATCCATATCATGTCAATATTGGCCATCTCCTTATATTTCGTACTTGAGAGAACAAACTTCATGCTGGAAAATACCAGATAAGGTGTAAATTCTACATTGTTTAATGAGAGGCCTAACTCACAGACAATTTTTTGAAATATTACATTTAACTCATTTCTTTATCATGAAATTTGTAACATATTTTTGAGGAGAGAAAAAGTCCTATCCACATACAAGTAGGAAAATTGCGCTTGGGGAAAAAATAACATTTTGACTTTGTCCTTGTAGACAAAAGGACCTATTTTCTCCAGTAACAGTTACATTTTGTGTTGTATGGTATGTGTATTTAAGTATTATCAGAATCATACAAAGCAAGTCCAGTATTAAACCCATCTATGCACGAAGCATTCAACACTGCACATATATTCTATCTTTTTATAAATAGCACCATGGCTGAAAGCATTTTCTATACATTCATTATACAGTTTAGTCTTATTTGGAATAACTATTTTTTAACCAGAATTTTTATTTAGTTACTTGACAATGTTAATAAGAGAGTTCAGTGTTATATGCTAATCAACTTAAAGGATAATTTCTTATAAATCACAATTTATACAGAAATAAATACGGTACACAGAATTATGATCACAATGTTATACAATAGATATTCAATTTGCCTCCGGGATTTAATTTCAATTTGTATGTAAAGTAAATCATTTGTACATGAACATTAATTTCATTAAATCGCTGATGCATGAAAGAGGCTTTGATTGACTGGTTTTACACTGGTTCCTCTATCCAATTCAATAAAAAATATCAAAAATGTTCTTTTATGTGTAAAAACATCAACAGTAGAAGAAGACATGATTCTTATATAATCACTTTCTATGAAAAATATCAATGGCAACTTCTTCATATTTGTTCAAAAACATTTTGAAACATGATCTTTCATTACTCCAGTTACATTAATCATAAAAAATATTTCACGGAAAAACTGATCAGAATGTAAATATATATATTAGCCTTTGACCTCTTGCATAAAAACAAACATGACCAAAATCATTCATTCCTGTCACACAATTTCAAACATACATGGAAAAAAAGAGGCACCAATATATTAAGGCTCCACCTTCGATTAGAAACCTCTTTGCTGTAATATCATCAATAACCAGGCAATATCGTAGATTCATGAATATTCATGTCAGTTTCTTGACGAAAAAAATTTGGACATCTGTAAAATGGAAAATTAATTTTTTTTTTTTCAAGCCACGATATCACTGGTACCCTTTGACAATAAATGAATCCACAATACACTACACAATTACTGGTTGTAAAAAAAAGAAAGCACATTGTTATAATCTGCACCAATTAAATTTGTTCCCTTGCTTAGACAATATTAAATTAATTTGAACTTTTCTCAATCCTTGATTCTTTGTTTTGACAATGTTAGTGTATAAAGTTTCCACTTATTACTGAATATAATAAAAGAAAAAAGAAAAACAATCATTACATTTTTAAACTTCGAATGGAAAAAATACTCTTGATTCTTCAAAGTCTGATAAACTTATACAGTAATTCCAGATAAATCATTTTTAAATGGTCAAAAATTCTAATATCCATAGATAACTTTCTAATTCCCAGTTGAGCTTTAAATATATATGCATATATTAATATATTCCCCCAATCTGAATATGTTGGCATAACATTTCAACAATGTTTTATCATATCAAATTCACTCAACGGTAACTGATTTCCACTCAAAAATAAGATGATTTTCACTTCCAAATAAGTCCTACTGGTTGACATGGTGTTTTATGAAGCAGAATTTCCAAATGTCTAGCAATGGTTTTTTGTAAACTCAATTTGAATAAAGAATCCAGCAAAAGTTTCATCCAATTACAGTCCAATTTTAAAAATAGTCCTAGTATCAGTTTGTACGTTATTGCATTGTACCAAACACTGGATTATGTCTACAAATGCTTGGTCCATACTCATCATAATCTGCCTTTGTGTGACATACTTTGTAAAATTCAGGCTGAAAAAGAACATAGAAATTATTATTAAAATGTTATAATATGGTTCAGAACACAGAACCTTTGATATCCAGAAAGAATATTCTGGGGCCATTGGCGTTGATGACAGATCTTTGATTTGTTTTTAATACACTTAATTTCGTAACTTTTTTTCTAGACTCCGAGTGATTTGGAACTTATATTGTATAGAAACCTTTTTCTACTGTTTGTTGAGTCCTCTAAGAGATGTCTTGTTTTTTTTTGGTCATTTGGTTGACGTCTCATTGAAGAATATCCCAAGTTATTTTGTTAATTTTCATGCTTAGTTGGAAATCATTGTCAGAAGACTATGTTGAAATGAGAAAGTTTAAGGCCACTTCTTTGGTTCTATTAATTTCAAAAATCAAATTTTGAAAATCAAAAAGTATTATAAATCTGCCATCCATAAGATGTTCATAAGACATTATCTGTCATATATCAATATCTGTAATAGGGATTCAAACATCTTCAATTTAGTGCAAATCCGTATAAACTGCCAAAATAGCTCATTTTCAGATCTTGTAATCAAAATTAAGATATGTGCTAAGGCTTTACCGAAAAAGATCTTTTTCTAGACAATGTATTTCACAATTTTAATGTGTGTAAACAAATCTTTTGGTTAAGGCAATGACTCATATATAATTTGTCTAAAAACTATGTGTTAAATGGCCATTTTAGGCCAAATAAGTTAATTTCTACAGGTTTATTCCATCATATTGACATCACAAGTGACCTTTCTGCACTTAAATATCCAGATTATCTTAATTTACTGTTCATTTATCAATAAAATTTGATTAATTTTCAAAGGCTGGTATAATTTTTCTTTATTTTTTCATTTCAGGGGCCAAATAATGGCTCCTATCATACCTCCTTCTTTCACTATATTATATAAGAGATAATTGACTTACTGTAGATGCCAGCATACTACCACCAAACCATACAGCATATCTCTGCATATGATGTGTGATCACTTGTACATCTATTGGTTTTGGCTAAACATAAAATTATAATTTTATTTGTTATTTTATATAGTCTGTCATATAGTATGTATAGAAAGAGTAGTTAAAAGAAAACAGTAGCAACATGAGCACAAGATATGCACACCAATGGAGACTGAAAATGTTTAAAAGAACGAAATTGAAACACAGTAATGATTATTAAATCAGAAGGCAGTAAAATGATCCGTCAGAAAAAGTTTACTTAAATGAAGGAGTGATATGTGGAAAATTGCCTTTATTCTAAAAGTTCTAACAACTCTAGAACGACAAACTCAATATTTTCAAAATCAAAAGGGAGCTTTTTACCACCGATTCAAATACTTCACACCATTTTCATAACATTTGATTAAGTATTCTCTAGCTTTTAGATACAAAGGTATACCATTATACACCCCATCTCTGATGGTCTTATGGAAATAGTAAAGGTCTTATGGAAATAATAAAATTAAGCTCCTTTTATTGTCTACCTATCTTTGTCAATACAAACACATTTTAAAGATCTTTTCCAAATATGTTGCAATTTTTTTTTTGATTTGGAACACATCTGTTTACATTTCTTGTTTTCATGATAAAATTAATACATTTCCTATCATTTCTGACCTTAAAAAATCATAGGTGTTCTTGGTTGATATAACTTTCAGTAAAAAACATCCCAACTAAGGTTAAAATTCAAATACGAAATATATGTCTTACACACTGTACATCATAGTTGATACAAAAGTTGGTCTTCATGGAAACAGAAATGCACAAAAAGACAAATTTACATTTAAATTTCTTCCCATATATATAAATATATTTATTGCCTCTTTTCAGATAAAACAAATTCTAAAATACCTTAATGACCTACCCTATTCTTTTCAAGGTCAACCAATAGACCTATAGGTTCTAAAGTTGATAAAGGTATTCGTATTTTGTATCACTGTGTTTATTCATATTGAACATACCTTAATTCTACCTTGACTTAATTCTTCACTAATTTTTAATCTTGCGTCTACGACTCTCTTCACATCACGCTGCATTTTTCTACCGAAATCTTTAAACATTGTTGATCCTCCAGATAGAACTACATTCTAGGTAGAAATAATATTACACATTAGCTAAAAACATATTGAATGAAAAGATAGGTGTACTGTGAATTAATTATTACATTTGATACCAATTTTCTTGGTTTATGTGTGTAAAGGTAAACCAAAAAATTTAAATGTTCAACGAAGTACAAATTTTCTATAGGCTTGTATACAGACTTTGGAAAATCCTCAAAATCAAATATCCACTAAAATACAACTTTTCCTCAATCCACGAAAAATTGGTACTCATGTAAACAAATGAATCCACAGGAGTTGAAAATTTCATATGTTTATTAAACTTTTGATTGTATTTGTTCTAGATCTGTGCCATCTGACATGTTTGCCCTTTTTTCATCCCATCACAATAAGACAATATAATTGTCAGAAATTGTTCCCTTATCAATTATTTGGTATATATGTAGGACTCTAAAGTGCGATGGGGAAGCTAAAACGTGATGGTCATGCTAAAGTGCGATGGCCCACGCTAAAGTGCGATGGTTTGATACGCTAAAGTGCGATGGTATGTGCTATTCATTTGAACACGCTAAAGTGCGTTTTTCCACAAAAGTATCAATGTTACAACGTTAAACAAAATTATGACGAGAATGTTTGTCCAGAAGAAGAGAGAAACAAATGATCACAATCTGGGACATCTTTGGTTGTTGCTGGAAGAGGTTAACTTAATTTGTAAAATTGTTAAAAGAAATTTAATCAAAACTACGTGGGGTGCCAAAAAAGTCTTCTTTTTTACTTTCTAATTGAATATTTCTATAAAAAAAACATCAATATGGTTTGTTATTTCTTTTAAATAATGAATGTACGTCAACTAGACAGCAACCTAACGAACAGATGTGAAGTAGCATCATATGATTGCCAATAAGACAACTCTCTAGCCAAGATCTAATGTCATTAATGTATGCAACTTTAGGTTATAGTATGACCTTTAACGGGGAGCATTTGTTTACACCGCATAGTGTTCTATTAAGACCAAAGGGCCTCAAAACAATCAGTGTAAAACAATTCAAATGAGTAAAATAACAACCTGATTTAAATACAAAACAATAGACGAACAGCAAATATGAAATATACCAACAAATGACTACCACTAAATTCCAGATATACTAACTACTGTAATGTAATCATTACACTTTTTGGACAACTATCTTACTTTAAATAAAAAGTAAGAAGATGTAGTATGAACTATCCATCCAACCCCAAATGTCGTTCGTGTATACTATGCAACTAATAATCATACGGCCTTCAGCGTAAAGCCTTGGCCCATAACGCATAATAAGCTATAAACATGATATAGGGTTATACAATGACCAGTGTAAAATAATTCAAAAGAGAAAGACTACGGCTTGATATATAAATACAAGAGTGCACACGCTGAAATGTCTCGCCTTCTTTACTAATCATTGATATTATGTTGATAGTCCTAAATATAAAGCTTTATTACAACTGTCACATCAACTTAACATTAACCAAGTAAACTAAACATTGACCAATGAACCATGAAAATGAGGTCAAGGTCAGATGAACCATGCTAGGCAGGCATTTACAGCTAACAATTCTTCCATACAACAAATGTAGTTGACCTATTGCTTATAGTTTAAGAAAAACAGACCAAAACACAAAAACTTAACACTGAGCAATGAACCTTGAAAATGAGGTCAAGGTCAAATAAAACCTGCGTGACTGACAAATAGATCATAAAATATTTCCATACACCAAATATAGTTGAACTATTGCATATAGTATTAGAAAAAAAGACCAAAACTCAAAAACTTATCTTTGACCACTGAACCATGAAAATGAGGTCAAGGTCAGATGACAACTGCCCGCTAGACATGTACACCTTACAATCATTCCATACACCAAATATAGTAGACCTATTGCATACAGTATAAGAAAAACAGACCAAAACACAAAAACTTGACTAAAACCACTGAACCATGAAAATGAGGCCAAGGTCAGATGACACCTGCCAGCTAGACATGTACACCTTACAATCATTCCATACACCAAATATAGTAGACCTATTGCATACAGTATAAGAAAAACAGACCAAAACACAAAAACTTTACTATAACCACTGAACCATGAAAATGAGGTCAAGGTCAGATGACACCTGCCAGCTAGACATGTACACCTTACAATCATTCCATACACCAAATATACTAGACCTATTGCTTATAGTATCTGAGATATGGACTTGACCACCAAAACTTAACCTTGTTCACTGATCCATGAAATGAGGTCGAGGTCAAGTGAAAACTTTCTGACGGCATGAGGACCTTGCAAGGTACGCACATACCAAATATAGTTATCCTATTACTTATAATAAGAAAGAATTTAACATTACAAAAAATCTTAACTTTTTTTCAAGTAGTCACTGAACCATGAAAATGAGGTCAAGGACATTGGACATGTGACTGACGGAAACTTCGTAACATGAGGCATCCATATACAAAGTATGAAGCATCCAGATCTTCCACCTTCTAAAATATAAAGCTTTTAAGAAGTTAGCTAACGCCGCCGCCGCCCGATCACTATTCCTATGTCGAGCTTTCTGCGACAAAAGTCGCAGGCTCGAAAAAAACTATCAACTCATTGCCTTACCTTATAAAGACCTCTGCGGACATCTATAGGACAATTCTGTATAACTGTATCTACAACTTCTGAGATAGGTGTTATAAAGTCTGGATTTGAAAACTATAAAAGAAATATACATAATTGTACCAAAGTAGGTTTATTCTATAATTTTTAGTTTTAAAATATTTACAACAAAGATAGAAAAGAAACATAACATCATATTTTTCTTTATTTTTTAAATGATAGATGTTATAGTTTCAGCATTCATGCACACTGATTTCTATCAGTTGTTTTTATTTGGTGCATCTAAATCAATGGGAAATTTGTTTCTTACTTCTCTGAGGCATTTGTTGACATTATTTCTATATTTTACTTATGGCCACGACATTGTCTTTCTTCAAACTGATGGTATTGTCTTATTTTTTGGCTTAACTTTTGTGATTATACTATCCATTAATATATACACTTAATAGACAATTTCTTGTTAGACTTTTTAACTTAATTGTTATGCATATAAGGGAAGAAAATACTCCTTAAAGAAAGGGAAATACATTTTGAAATAACAAAATTCGTAAGGGTTCCGCGGAACCCAGTGTGTCGCCTACTTTTTCTGTTAATCGCAGACTCAATAAAAATATTCCTCTTGATACTATCTTTTGATTGTAAGAAGCTTCTGTCCAAGTTTGGTAAAATTCCAGGGTAGTTTATGATTTAAAATAACTGTTTAAAAACTTTAACTGCAGACTGAATTTAATGTTAACTGGAAGAAAACAAAATTTCCTTCTAGATACTAGCATTTGATCATAAACAAGCTTCTATCCAAGTTTGGTACAAATCCAAAATAGTATAAGAAAGTTATTAAAATTTTAAAAACTTTAACCACAGAGTGAATATGTTGTTTCCTGGCAGAAAATCTAAGTCCATTTAAAAGTAAAATACGGAAAAAATGGATTTATTTTTTTTACAAAATTTCCTTCTAGATACTAGCTTTTGATCATAAACAAGCTTCTGTCCAAGTTTGGTACAAATCCAAAATAGTATAAGAAAGTTATTAAAATTTTAAAAACTTTAACCACAGAGTGAATGTGTTGTTTCCTGGCAGAAAATCTAAGTCCATTTATAAGTAAAATACGGAAAAAATGGAATTTTATTTTTACAAAATTTACTTCTGGATACTATCTTATGATCATAAACAAGCTTCTGTCCAAGTTTGGTAGAAATCCAGGATAGTTTAAGAAAGTTATTAAAATTTCAAAAACTTTAACCACAGAGTGAATATTTGTGGACGCCGCCAACGACAACGACGACGCAATGTAGGATCGCTATGTCTTGCTTTTTCGACTAAAGTCGAAGGCTCGACAAAAATGAAAAACTGGATTACATTTGTGTACCATTTTCAGTTTTAAAGGCTCTAAAAACAAAACAAGTTTTAAAAGTTCTACCGAGATGTATATTTTTTCATATAAAAGTCTTAACATAATGCAAACTGACACAGATTTCTTATTTAATATGCCAAACATCTGAGCGAACAGTGAGATGACAAACAGTTGAACTGTTCTTAGATTTTTAGGGTAAAATTAACTAGTTTGTTCTTATGTTGTACTGTTACACCACTGTCCCAGGTTAGGAGAGGTTGAGTGCTAAAAAAACATGTTTAAACCTGCCACATTTATTAAGTGCCTGTCCCAAGTCAGGAGCCTGTAGTTCAGTAGTTTTTTGTTGGTTCATGTCTGTTATATTTGTTTTAAAAAAATGTTTTATTATAAATAAGGCTGTTAATTTTCTCAATTGAATTGTTTCATATTTTTCATGTTGGGGCCTTTTATACCTGACTTTAGGGTATGGGGTTTTCTCATTGTTGAAGGCCATATGGTTGCCTATAATTGCTTACATCCACTTCATCTGAACTCTGGAGGATAGTTGTCTTATTGGTAATCATACCACATCACCTTATTTTTATATTATACTATTTAACAGCTGTATCAATGGTCACAATTTACACAAATGCAAATAGTAGAATACCTCTGGATGGAAGAAAATTTCTGGACCAAGGAATCTTTCATAGCCTACATCTACAGCAAACTTTTGTCTGGTTATACTATTCATGCCTTCAAATTTCTTCATCCATTTTGATGGATCTGCATCATATTTGGCAAATTCTTTAGCTATGTCTGGACACACATATGAAAATCTTTCCTAAAAAAATATAATAATTTATCTTTGCTGATAAATGACATTATTATTTTACTAGTGACATTATATCTTTGTCAAAGATCTGATTAAATCAATGTGACCTTTTTACCTGTTTGGTCTAGTACCTGATTTTTAGCACTTACTACTGGATAATTTAGAATCTGGTGATAGGATGTTTGCACGGCAGGAGATGTTTATTTGTGTTCTGTGGAATTGTTCTTCTATTCACAAATTTTTTTTTTTTTTTTTGTCATGGCATTGTCAGGTATTCTTTGACTAATGAATTTTTAATGTTGCCTTCGTATTTCTACCTCTGTTATTATAAACAATCTTACAAATAGAAAGAAATATCAAATGCTGTGCAAACATTTTATAATAATAAATTAAACAAGCATTCTGTGAGTATTGCCAGGCAATACATAGTCCCCTACCGCTTAAAAATTCATTGTACTGAACAAAATTCTAACTTGATCTATAACTTGTCATGGTGTAAACTATATAACAAATATCAGGACAATTACTTCAAGCATGACGAAAAAAAAGTGGAAAATTTATTATTTGAGTGAATTTTCGAAGTCCAAGGACCATAACTCTGCACAAAATCATTAGACAGGACCAAAATTCGATGTTGATCTGTAACTTCTCATGATAAAACTATATATCAATCATCAAATCAATATCTTCAAGCATGACAAAAAAAAGTGTGGAAAACTGATTATCTGAGCGAATTTTCTAAGTTCAAGGACCATTACTCTGCAAAAAATCTTGAGACCGGAACAAAATTCAAACTTGATCTGTAACTTGGCATGATAAAACAATACAACCAAATAATAAATCAATATCTTCAAGCACGAAGAAAAAAAGTGTGGAAAACTCATTTGCCAGATTGACGGATGGACAGACAGACAGACAGAGTGTAAACCTAAAATCCCCTTAGACTTCTTCAGTAGGGGACTAAAAAAAAAAAATAGATGGGTTAAAAATCATCAACATGATTAAGGACATGGTAAAAACAGACACAGTATTTCTCTTGCTTTTTTTTTCTTTTTCAACTGATAAATTCTTAATGTCAAAATAAAAAAAAAAACATTGATGATGGTTTTCCTACTTACCCCCCTCACCTAAATTGTCAATCCTAAAATTCCAATAGGTACCCTTGGTAGTGAATTGTGACAAAGTTCCAGGACTCAATATTCTCAAGGTATAAAAATTAAACACCCCTGCCCCAATTTTTTTTTTTTAACAAAAGCCCATTTACAAATGATTTACTTGCTGCACTTCTGCAAACTTTAACAAAAGCCCATTTACTTGCTGTACTTCCTCAAACCTTAACAAAAGCCCATTTACTTACTGCACTTCCTCAAACCTTAACAAACGCCCATTTACTTACTGCACTTCCTCAAACCTAAACAAAAGCCCATTTACTTGCTGCACTTCCTCAAACCTTATCAAAAGCCCATTTACTTGCTGAACTTCCTCAAACCTTAACAAAAGCCCATTTACTTGCTGCACTTCCTCAAACTTTACCAAAGCCCATTTACTAGTTGCACTTCCTCAAACTTACTTTTATTGCTTTTGCTGTTTCTAATGATTGTTCTGGTGGAATGCCAACTTCCCTTTCACGTAATAACTGCTGAATAAAATATGTTATATCTCTCCCAGCAATGGGAATGTGTTTAATACAACTACCTATCACATATCCTTCAGCCTGAAATGACAATGACATTGACAGTGAATTCTAAATAATATATTATAAAATATTTGAAAGAAAATTATTAACTTATTTTTATATATTTTTTTTACTTAAAAAATGATATCATGCAGAAACTATTGTGTTTACAGACATATGACAACAGCAGCACCAAACAATCACAGAACCAGGGCTCATGCTATCAGGCGACTGGGGCAAATAATTCGCTTTTCCACATGTGACTTCGCTTTGTCCGACCGTCAAAAGTGATATCTAGTCACCCCGGTGTTCACAATAGTCGCTTTCAGTTACTTTTGTCATTGGCAATTTTCAATTTTTACTAAATCAATGAATCAGCAATATTTCATTTATAAGTGAAGAAATTCTATGACATAAACGATTTATTTCTTTAGAAAAGAGGTGAAAGCATTGTTTTAAAGATTGGCTGTATGTTATTTCAAACAGACAACTTTATAAGAAGTATTTTCTTTCACTTCCGGTACTTGTTACTCAAGAGCGTACATCAAAACATTCTGATATTTCAACAAAAAAAGTTTGTTACTTCATTAGAACATGTAGAAAGTGATGAAATTTGCCATTAATTGATGATTCATCACTTTATTGCATTAACCCTTAGACTGCTGCATTTATTTCTATTGTACTTTTGTGTATTGCTGAATAAAAATTTAATTAACGACTACTTTAACATGTTTAATTTCAGTTAGTTGTCTGTCTGACTGATTTCATATGCATAATTTATTTTAGAGATAATTAACCGTCCTAAACTGATTGTGCATGTAACACTTTTCCTATTTGTTCTTTAAAATAAAAGTTTCACTGCCAACTTACTACTGGAATAACATGGGTAACACCATCCCCAGAATCTATCACTGTTCCTGTTAGAGTTCTCTCCCCTACTTGTCGTGATGTCCACGAAGCAGCCAATGCTAACACAGCCTGTCAAATAAAAGGAAAGATAAACATTGATTCATGATTTCACATGATAGCAGGCTAAGCAAAACAATTTGGTTGTCATTTTCACTCTCAACCCTGACTTTTTGTCTTCATTATTTTCTTTGGAAGTCTTGGCTGTGTTGTTTAGTTGCTGTCTCATTGATGTTTATCTACATCTCCTTTTATTCATGATTTTTTCACACTGAAATCTTCAAGATAATGTCTTTAAATAACTTTAATACTTGGCACAATGTTCATTGAGAAAATAAAAATAAACACATTCATTAACAACATATAGAGAATTATTTTCGATTTTAATTTGAGGATGAAAAATTGTCTCCCTTGCTTTTCTTTCTTATAAATTATCTCCCTTGCTCGTTTATAACATACCTGTACAGCAATATACAATCCAGGTACATTGAAAGATTCAAACATTATTTCAGCTGTGTATTCTCTATTTTCTGGTGTGTTAAGTGGCGGTTCTGTCTGAATAAACAAATAATATTCAAATCAAATATATAAAACAATTCAATACAAATTTGTATATAATTAACATGATATTCCTTACATATAATGTTCAGCCATTAGACAAAAAGGGGGGCATGGGTAACACTAATAGCTTAAACAACTGTTTGTTTGTTGCATAAAAAACCATCTTCAACCTATTAATATAGCTTTAGCTAGCAGTGAAAATTTATTTTGCATGATTACCTTTTTGTGTGATGTTTATTTTGTAATTTACAGCTTCTCTTTTAACATTGTCTCATTCATTTCTCCTGTTCAAAATTATGCCTTTTAAATAAAGAACACATCTTACTTTTTCCTTGTTTCTTCTTTCCATAAACTAAGATTATAAACTGGATTTCTCTAAATCTCAGCCCATTTATACTTTCCTCACTTATTTTTTAATAATAAATGTGAGTTAAGTTTGAACAAACTCCGTTCTTCATTGGTCCAAATTCAATTATGACGTCAATTATTTTGCTTCCTTCCGGATTTGCTCTAGTGATATCACAAAAAGGTGACCTTGTTCAAGTTGTTGGATGACCTCACTAAACAGAACACATCTATTTGAAGAACATTGGAAAAGAAAGACAAATTGCGTCTAAAAACCCTTAATAAAATGCTCCGCTGCGCGCAGCTTGATACGACCGCAGAGGTCGAACCCTGAACAGTTGGGGCAAGTATGGACACAACATTCAAGCTTGATACACACTGAATTTGGATTGTGATTAAATATTTGACACAGCATAGGTTTCTGACACAGAATGAATGTGGTCTAAGAACTTATAAATTATTAATTTACCTATTCAAACCATATCATTATTATTTGCTTTTAAATATAAATCAGAAATAACCAATTTAAAATTGATAATTTAAAAGAAAATAAAAGGTGGAAAAAAAATCCCTCCCCCAAATTTTTTGAACCCCCTTATGATTCATCACCCACAAACTCAATCTAAGCCTTCCCTTTATGGTATGGTACCTTGCAGTACAATTTCAGAGAGATCCATACACTTGAACACAAGTTATTGTCTGGAAACTAGAAAAATGCTTGTTTTTTTGCCCCAAATTCCTAAACGTTAAGGGCAATTACCCCCAAACTCAAACCCAGCTTTCCCTTTGTGATATGGAACCTTGTAGTACAATTTCATAAAGATCCATACACTCATACACAAGTTATTGTCATGAAACTAGAAAAATGCTTGTTTTTTGCCCCTTTTTTGGCCCCTAATTCCTAAAATTTTGAGGCAATTACCCCCAAAATCAATCCAAACATTCCCTTTGTGATATGGAACCTTGTAGTACAATTTCATAAAGATCCATACACTAACACACAAGTTATTGTCCTGAAACCAGAAAAATGCTTGATTTTTGCCCCTTTTTGGCCCTAATTCCTAAAATTTTGAGGCAGTTATCCCCAAAATCAATCCCAGTCTTCCCTTTGTAGTATGGTACCTTACAGTACAATTTCAGAGAGATCCTTACACTTGAACACAAGTTATTGTCTGGAAACTAGATAAATGCTTATTTTTGGCCCCTTTTTCTTAACGTTTTGGGTAATTACCCCAAACTCAATTCAAGCTTTTCCTGTGATATGGAACCTTGTAGTACAATTTCAGAAAGATCCATACACTTACACACAAGTTATTGTCATGAAACTAGAAAAATGCTTGTTTTTTTTCCCTTTTTTGGCCCCTAATTCCCAAAATTTTGAGGCAATTACCCCCAAAACCAATACCAGCATTCCTTTTGTGATATGGAACCCTGTGGCACAATGTCAGAGAGATCCATAAACTAACACACAAGTTATGTCTGGAAGTTACAAAAATGCTTATTTTTGGCCCCTAATTCCTTAACTGTTGGTACCATAACCCCCAAACACAATCCCAACCTTCCTTTTGTGGTATTGAACCTTATGGTAAAATTTCATAAAGATCCATTCACTTAAACTAAAGTAAGAGTGCGAAAATTTTTTTGCGGTCGTATAAAAAGTCAGATTCCACCACAGAGTCTTTACAATGATATTTCTCCACTCTCAACAGTTTAATACTAATAATTTAAACCCCTTTATAAGCTACTTGTTTAAATTTGAAAATTTAACTGTCTTATGTGGAGAAATATTATATCACACGGGATGCAGAAGTAGAATTATAGATTATAGATGGTTTTTTAAACACGAGGGTGTTTCTCGGCTACAATCTTATCTAAGAGCAAAAGACCATTGTTACTTTCCACCATTGTTTTCCTAATTATATAAGCAACGTCAATGATTTTCTTTCTTATGAGAAAATCCATATTACTCAAGACTTGATAAGGAAAATTTCACAAAAAAAGAAAAAAGCAAAATTTTTGAAAATAGCGATAATCTGTATTTACCAGTAAAAAATAATGATCCTCGGGTTCAGCTCTGAGGTATTTAAATATCACTTGTTCCATATATCGTTCCATTAAATCCCAGTCTTCAATTATTCCATGTCTAACTGGCCACTGAAAGGTATTTAATATTGTTTTAATATAAGATTTTGTAATCTACATGTAGGAGCAAGATAAAAAGTCAGTAACATATTAGACATACATGTAGGTTGGTTTAAAAGAGAAATATGATTTTTTTCCCTCCACTTCAATGATTTGTTAACAAAACGAAGGCATAAAAATATTTCGCAGATTCCGTAAAAGAAAAGGAAATGTCTGTCAAAAGGAACAAATTAATAAAAATAATACTAACTGTTATTTGAATGATAATCTGTGAATGTTTTAATGAATAATAATGTTAAATGAAGCAAGAAAACCAATTATTTGATATGATTGTTTCGATTAATAGTAGAAATGATCAAAACAAGTTGGAAAATGTGAAATGTTTGACAGAAATTACTTCCCATTTTTTGACGCAAGGTTTATGTGTTACAATGCTTTATGTTGACACTGGTATAATGGTTTTAATAAGTGTAGTCTAATTATTCACTCATCTCAGTTTCAGAATCTATTGCTTTTCTTTAATTAAAAACATCTGTGATATATTTTTTTTTGAATTTCAAATACCTTGCTTAATAGATGCTTGTTTGTCAATAAATGTTATGATAGCAACATGTTCATAAAATCTTGCCACATCATTGTAGGTACTTACATAAGCCTGTTTAAACTGTATTTCATAATGAACATTAAACAAACACATGTTGGATCTTCCAATTAACTTTATTTAATCAATAGTTTTATCAAATCTGTTGCTAACATAAGTTCTGACAAAATTGTCATCTTATGCTAGCAACATTTGGATGTGCTACAAATTAGAGTTATCGGTCCTGGTTTGAAATGTTGTTAAATGTCAGGCTGCGGTATTTTTCAGGAGTTCTAAAAATGACTTTCAACTAGGATAAGATCTCCAATGTTAGTTAAATATCTCAAATATATATCTTCTGTCAAATTTATCTTATGTTAGTGCAATCTTATGTAAGCATCAAGTCTGTCAAAATCTTATGTTAGCAACATTATTTAGTCTTTCAAATCTTATGTAACAACAATAACGTCTGTCAAATCTTATGTTAGCAACAATAAAGTCTCAAATCTTATGTTAGCAACAATAAAGTCTCAAATCTTATGTTAGCAACAACGTTCATGTCTGTCAAATCTTATGTTAGCAATTCCAAGATAATCTTATTTTAAAGCTTTTGCAATTTCTTTTTTATTGGTATAGATGTTAAAAAATATTTTATTTCAATTTGCCTTTTATATTTAAGCAAGATATACATCCAAACCTTGAAAATACTGAATATATCAGGATTGTTCGTGTTGCTAAGTTATGCTAACATAAGAATTTTCTGTCAAAATGTCAGTCCTTTTTCTTATGATAGGAACATTTTTTTAACGTGTCCTTTATTTAAAAAATATGATGTGAATAGATCTATTTTTTGTCAAAAAGTCTTTACTATATAAGTATAACTTGTATTCCAAAACAGAAGTTCATTGGTGTTGATTAATGTCAAACATAATTATGGAATCTGCCTACAGTTAATAAAAGCAGATTATTTAAAAATCATTTCAATTAACATTAAAACCTAAATTTTAAGGTAGATCTACTACTACAAGAGGGTGTTTAACGACCTTGACTAACCATGGTTGTCTTGCACGGTCTGTAAAATGACAAAAAGGTAGAACAGGTGTCTTCTGTCATCTTGAATTGCAAAAATAGTTGAATAAAATCAGTCTAGATATTATTGAAATATGCAAATTTTGTAAGAAGAATGTAATTCATTTGTAAGACTTTCATCTAAATGTAGAGAATTTTGTGTTTTATCTTATTTTCAACACTGTTCTTGTTAATACAAAATATTTTTTGTATGATTCATTTTTTTCAACTCTGCCACATTAGGGGAAATAACTCAGATAAGGCTACTTTTATGAAGGAATGTGTTATGACAGTAAAGACACAATGTATTATGCCTTGTGACCTAGAAAACAATCATGACCTATCTACCGTAGTCTTTAAACGATAAAGTGTATAAACCCAAAACACGCATATTTTTTGTGGCCTTTGCTTTGCCTCAATTAGTTAAATAAGTATTTGATATTGTCTCTCACATACACCTTTACCCCCTACACTGATGAGTATTTTGTAGTCATAACATACACCTTGCAAACAAACCTTTAAGCCTGTTATCTACCATTTTCATTGTAACCACAAATATTTTTTTCTAAATTAATCTTACCTTTACACTGTATGATGTTGCATTCAAAGCTTCATCTCCAATAAAGAAATCGAGGTCCTCCACCCCTTTACCAAGACGTTGTATAGCTTTATCTCCGACTGATGCAGATTCTTTTACAGCAATGGCTGACGGCACAATGAACTGTGGTTCTGTGTTACCGGCATACCCCATCTTTGTGTACCTATACAAATGCACACAAAAAATAACGTGTTTCATTATATATATATATATATATATCAGCAATTTCACAAAATTCGACAATTAACCATATTAATTATAACCAAATTCTTTCATGTATTGTCTACAGTCTTATACCTCAAAATTAAAATAGCCAGGCAGGGGTGCAGATTAGAGAGTACCATAAGCAATAAACTGCATCGCTGAGCGCAGCTGGATACGCCCGCAGAGGTCCAACCCTGAACAGTTGGGGCAAAAATGGACACAATATTCAAGCTTGATACAGGTCTGAATTTGGATTGTAATTAAATATTTGACATATTATAGGTTTCTGAATAAATGTAGTCAAAGAACTTGAAATTAGTTATATGAATTGAATTTATATTCAATTAAAGATTTCTTGCTGTTGTGCAATACACTATGCTGTTGCGCAATACTTTGTAAATCTGTTGTCAGACTATAAACAAATAAAGTTCAATTTCTTCTCAATGTCACATTTGAAATTTATGAAAATCAATAGGGAGATTACATCAATAACTATAAATAATTCACCAAAGTTTCATGAGAATTGCTGAAAGCATTTTTGAGTTATTGTCTGAAAACTGGAAAATCCCCCTTTTTTAATGAATAAAACCCCATAACTTGGAAATGTAAAATCTAAAATTCATAAAATTCTAAAGGGAGCTTACATCAATAGATATCAACAATTCATCAAAGTTTCATGAGAACTGCTGAAAGCATTTTTGAGTTATTATCCGAAAACTGGAAAAATCCCCCTTTTTTTTATGAATAAAACCCCGTAACTTGGAAACATAAAATCTAAAATTTATAAAAATCAAAAGGGAGCTCATGTCAATAGATATAAACAATTAACCAAAATTTCTTGCAAATTGGTGAAAGCATTCTTGAGTTATTGTCCGAAAACTGGAAAACCCCCCTTTTTTTAATGAATAAAACCACATAACTCGGAAACGTAAAATCTAAAATTCATAAAAAATGAAAGGGAGCTCACGTCAATAGATATAAACAATTCACCAAAATTTTATGCAAATTGGTTAAAGCATTTTTGAGTTAATGTCCGACGTTGACGACGGACAGACGGACAACGGTATACCATAATACGTCCCGTAAACGGGCGTATAAAAAGAGAAAATTCATACTTCATCATGTTTGTTTAAGTTCCGAAATGTTTGCTTTTGAAATTCAGTGTACCAGCTAGGATTTTAAAAGGGCGGGGTGCCTATCATGAAAAGGACATTTAATGTGTAAAATGATAATATGCAAAAAGGGTATGTTTTAATAAAATTTTAATCAAACACTGGTTAGGCAAAAAAAAATATATGCCTGTTTAAGGTTACATCAATAAAAAAAATAGGGTAGGTAGGTCCATATTTACATTTTATTTTTTCATCTTATTCTTTGCGACATGATTATGGGCCATTGGGTCTGTCTTGCCGTGGTCCGAGTTTTCCATGGGTCGAGTTCACCCAAATCTTTAATAATTGGATTATTTCCCTATGGTATTGATTGAAAAAAATGGCTGCAAAGTGTTTATTTCATCACACGAGTCGTGAAATTCCTTAAAAAAGTTGTCATATTCACGTTTGTGAAAGTCAGGATGTATTAGGAAATTGATCTCTTTTATTGGCAACTCTAAATAAGTTTCTGACACGAGTTCAATTAATTTTTCACTTCACATAAGAAATAACATATCTTAGGGTTGGCGCTCAAAAGCAGGGTCAATTGGGTAACTGTAAACGGACATATATATATATACTTTTTTGCCTTATAACTACACAAGTACAACATGAATACCAATTACATTACTGAATGAATGAATGGTGCCAGTGGAGGGCAGGGTACTTTTTTAGGTCGGGAAAGGGCAAACTGCTAAGTGTGTTTTGATTTACCCAAAGCATGTAAAGGTCCATCAAACATTAATGTCATGAATAGAACAGTCTTTCACTAAAGGTTGTATTTGTTTGCAATTTACACATTCTTATCCTATATCCTTTTAATAACAGACACAAATTTTCCAATTGTTTTTTTATGATTGTGGCTTATTATTAAACTTGTGTGTGTGTGAAGAGTTCTTGAATAATTTACAAGCATGTTCAATTTCTACTTGATGATAATGGAAACCATGTTGTATCCATAAAAATACCAAGAACATTTCACACAAAAGATTTTAAATAAAATGCTCCGCTGGGGCGCAGCTTGATACGACCGCAGAGGTCGAACCCTGAACAGTTGGGGCAAGTATAGACACAAGTCACAACATTCAAGCTTGATACAGCACTGAATTTGGATTGTAATTAAATATTTGACACAGCATAGGTTTCTGACACAGAATGAATGTGGTCTAAGAACTTATAAATTATTAATTTACCTATTCAAACCATATCGTTATTATTTGCTTTTATATATAAATCAGAAATAACCAATTTAAAATGGAAAATTTTAAAGAAAAAAAATGAAGAAAAAAATCCCCCCCCCCCAAATTTTTTGAACCCCCTTATGATTCATCATCCCCAAACTCAATCCCAGCCTTCCCTTTGTGGTATGGTACCTTGCAGTACAATTTCAGAGAGATCCATACACTTGAACACAAGTAATTGTCTGGAAACTAGAAAAATGCTTGTTTTTTGGCCCCAAATTTCCAAACGTTTCGAGCAATTACCCCCAAACTCAAACCCAGCTTTGCCTTTGTGATATGGAACCTTGCAGTGCAGTACAATTTCATACAGATCCATACACTTACACACAAGTTATTGTCCTGAAACTAGAAAAATGCTTGTTTTTTTGCCCCTGTATGGCCCCTAATTCCTAAAATTTTGAGGGAATTACCCCCAAAATCAATCCCAGCCTTCCCTTTGCAGTCTTCACAATGAACTTTAAAATCTACAGGCCCAGAGCTCAGTTTTTGGAAAATTTTAGTTAGATTCTGTTGGCCTGTAGATATATTTTTAACAGGCCCGAGAGCAATTTTACAAGCCTGGGCTGCTGGGCCTGTGGTTCAGCGTGAAGACTGCCTTTGTGGTATGGTACATTTGTACCTTGCAGTACAATTTCAGAGAGATCCATACACTTGAACACAAGTTATTGTCTGGAAACTAGAAAAATGTTTAATTTTGGCCCCTTTTGGCCCCTTATTCCTAAACGTTTTGGGCAATTACTTCCAAACTAAATTCCAGCTTTCCCTTTGTGATATGGAACCTTGTAGTACAATTTCATAAAGATCCATACACTTACACATAAGTTATTGTCATGAAACTAGAAAAATGCTTGTTTTTTGCCCCTTTTGGGCCCCTAATTCCTAATATTTAGAGGCAATTACCCCCAAAATCAATCCCAGCATTCCCTTTGTGATATGGAACCTTGTGGTACAATGTCAGAGAGATCCATACACTTACACACAAGTTATTGTCCTGAAACTAGAAAAATGCTTGTTTTTTTGCCACTGTATGGCCCCTAATTCCTAAAATTTGAGGGAATTACCCCCAAAATCAATCCCAGCCTTCCCTTTGTGGTATGGTACCTTGCAGTACAATTTCAGAGAGATCCATACACTTGAACACAAGTTATTGTCTGGAAACTAGAAAAATGTTTAATTTTGGCCCCTTTTGGCCCCTAATTCCTAAACGTTTTGGGCAATTACTTCCAAACTAAATTCCAGCTTTCCCTTTGTGATATGGAACCTTGTAGTACAATTTCATAAAGATCCATACACTTACACATAAGTAATTGTCATGAAACTAGAAAAATGCTTGTTTTTTGCCCCTTTTTGGCCCCTAATTCCTAAAATTTGGAGGCAATTACCCCCAAAATCAATCCCAGCATTCCCTTTGTGATATGGAACCTTGTGGTACAATGTCAGAGAGATCCATACACTTACACACAAGTTATTGTCATGAAACTAGAAAAATGCTTGTTTTTTGCCCCTTTTTGGCCCCTAATTCCTAAAATTTGGAGGCAATTAACCCCAAAATCAATCCCAGCATTCCCTTTGTGATATGGAACCTTATGGTACAATGTCAGAGAGATCCATACACTAACACACAAGTTATGTATGGAAGTTACAAAAATGCTTATTTTTGGCCCCTAATTCCTTAACTGTTGGTACCATAACCCCCAAAATCAATCCCCACCTTCCTTTTGTGGTATTAAACCTTATGGTAAAATTTCATAGAGATCCATTCACTTAAACTAAAGTTAGAGTGCGAAAACCAAGTTGTCTTTGGACAACGACGCCAGCGTCATACCAATATACGACCACAAATTTTTTTTGCTGTAGTATAAAAACCGGAGGTTCCCTAGACGCTTAAATAAATTATTTAAGATTATTACTTTGTTCATTTTTTCCCCTTGTTAGCAATAATTAAAAAACTGCATTCTCTGACTTTATAGAAATATGTATGTTGTTAGTCATTGTTAGTTGAAAAGTTAAATAATTTCCAAGGTATACAACTGCCAATAGAAAAGGGGGTAATGTTTATGCTAGACTTTTTACTGTATGTAAGGTTTTGCATATTTTGTATTAATGCTTGAAAACTAATTCTCTATGACACTGAGTTTTCAAATTTTGTTTAGCTTTTTTTACGGACTTATTAATCGTGAATATTAAGAGAAAAAAAAATTAGCAGAACTTTCCAATATTTAATCAAAATGGTGGTGGCCCCAAAAAAGATATTTATATTTAAACTTGTTTTGATTTTTGCTCCCATTTATCACTTTCATTTACAGGCCATTGAATGCATGGTTTATATTTGTCGACCTGGTTTGACAGTCCTTTATTTTCAAAAGTCTGAAAACTGTTGTGTTAATACAGGAAACATTGATATTTGTCATATACATGTACACGGCTATATCCACAATAAAATTTTAATCACATTGAATCTTTTCTACATTTGATATGACATTTGGTTTCTTCAACCTAGAACCCTCGATTTTCTTATGTTAGAGCCTAGGTTGAATTTCTTTCCTAGTGTGTACATACAGGAATATCACCTGCTATTACACTTAACTTAGTGCCAAGTGTCTTGATATCTTAGACATTTCTTTTCAATTATTACAATTTTAGAGAAGATACTGAAGTTAAAATATTGCTATCTGCCTATACTATAGCTGATTGCATTTAAAATGAATGCAAATAACATAAAAAGCCTTCATTACATTCATTTCCTGTATCAACTTGAACATTTTTAATAACTTTTTCTTGTATTTACAAATTGTACAAACCCAGTTCCACAGTCAATAATAACTGCTGGAGTCCCTGTGGGACCAAAGGACTTTCCGAACGACATCTTATTGAATACACGCCCAGAATATTGCAATAAGTATAAAGATGGCTGAAGGAGATGGTCCTTGATGTCCTCAAGGAAGTGACAACTTTGTCATCAGGTTTATTGCTATTTTGTCATAAAACGTAGCTTCCTGTTCTATTTACATATTCATAAACCGGCAATACACAATTTTTGTTAATAGATCACGTGAACAAACTGAATAAGAAGGAAGTATTTAGTGTTTCATTTTAACAACCAATACAAAAGATGTAGATATTGTTTACTGGAGACGGTGCAAATGCATTAAATGCATACACCTTTCAGCAAATCCGCCCATTTTCATTTTCGCAGGTAGTAGGGTGGGTTTTTAAGGGGGATTGAAGTTATTTGTTGCATACCCGGTTCCACAGTCTACTACAACCGCTGGAAGTCGTCCAGCCATTGTTTATGATTGAATGTATGTTAAATAAAGTTGTTTGGAGTTAAAAACAGAAAGCAGGAAGTGACTCAGCCGGCGACATGAGAAACAACATGGCCGATGGGAGGTGATTACCACATTCTTTGCAGAACATTTAATTTTAAATTAAACCGTCACTACTCAAAATGCAGTAAAAAGGTATTTTTGGTCCTATAAATGGTTTATTTTAAGTATAAATTTAGACGTAGTAAATTCATATAAAGCCATAACAAATGAGAAATGTGGTAAATAAACTGAATTATACGGATACCAGTCGAAGGTTATAAGGTACAAAACGGGGACTACTTTATTATTTGAAAATACTTGTAATTTTTTTTTATGCGCACGTTTGAGTGGTATCGGGTCCGTTCGCGCCCAATACACGTTCGCACCCTACACGTTCGCACCCTTTTTTTATTCAAAAACCTGATAAATTTTTAGATGTTTTGTAAAATATTTTTATTTTCATAAATAAAAATTCGGGAATTTTTAAATGAAATATTGTTTTTAATTGATTTGATGATTAATTATTAAATGTTAATTATGTATGATTACTGCTAATTGGTATTTATACACAGCCTAATATGATGTTATTGTTGGGTGTTTAAAAATCATGATCGTTAATTGTCATGGTTGTTTTAACTTGCTTTAAATGTAAATACTGCATGTATTTAGCTTGGTATGAGTAAAACTTTGAAGATTTTAAATAAAAAACATGAAAGATAATTGTTTTTAACAGCTTGGCTCCTTTGATCTCACGTGTGTCAGAATCTCACTTTATTCATAAACAATGAAAAAAAATATTTATAGCAATACACTATCCAAAACATGATTACGAATTATTCAACATATAAAAAAAACACGTTGTCAGAATCCCATTTCCTTTTGAAACAATAAAAAAGAAATATTTATAGCAATACACTAACCAAAATATGATTAAGATTTTATCAACACCTAAAAAAACGTTGTCAGAATCTCACTTTATTTAGAAACAATGAAAAAAAATAATTTATATATATATATATAAACGCCTAAAAAGTGTACACAACAACACCAATAACAAAAAAAGGAACTATAAATGTAATTATTTATAAATATTTCGGATAACAGATATCCTTCATCAGTAAATATGATTGTGATGTTGAATGAATCATATATCAGTCTACTTAGATTAAACTATACAAATCTTGAAATTTATACAATAAAAATGTCAAACCGAACATCAGGTAAGACGCTTGCACAATTCTAAATATGTGTTAAACACGACATAGGTTATATGACTAATTACAACAGAGAGTTCAAATATATGCTTTAAATAAAAATAATAATGTGCGATATGAACTAGCACAATTCTAAAGCTTTAACGGTGACGACAGTTATGATGTTACAAGAACGATTGCGTCAATAAGAATTCCAAATAAACAGCACTGAACGATCTAAATTTGTAAATATTTCAAATTTGACAACGGTAGAGTAGTTGCAACAGAGTCTGTGTATTTAAACATCGCAAACAAACGGCCGTTAAAATATAATAATAAATTTTGACTAAGGTTAACTAGTTGAACGTGGCTTGGTACTTTTACATCCCTCAAAAAATTAAGCAATTTAAATTGGTATATTCAACAGATTTATTTTAGAGATGAGTAAGGTAAAGAAATAAAAACAGAGACTGTAATAGACGACATTATAATAAAACCAGCAGATAAAGGTAGCGCTGTTGTCGTCATGGACAAATGTGACTACATTCAAGAGGCAGAACGTCAACTCTCTGATGAGAGATTTTATAAGAAATTAGACTCTGACCCCACCCCTCAATTCAACAAAGAGATCACCACAAACCTGAAAAACATGTGTGAAGAGGGACATATTGATGAAAACACATTTGAATATTTAAAACCTGAAAAATCAAAGCCGGGGCGTTTCTATCTTCTGCCCAAAATACATAAAGTCAATAATCCAGGTAGACCAATTGTTTCCGCCAATGACCACCCTACAGAGAAAATATCAGAATTTATTGACTTTCATCTGAGACCACATGTGGAAAATTTACCATCCTATATACAAGACACAACACATTATCTGAAGAAAATGGAATCTTTGAACCCTCTCCCACCTGAAACGATCCTTGTCTCGCTTGATGTTACCTCCCTCTATACTAACATCCCCCATGACGATGGTATTGAAGCCTGTAGGGAAGTCTGGAACTCTCGTAACACCTTACATCCACCGACTGAATGTCTCATCCAGCTTCTTACTTTGGTATTACAATGCAATAACTTCACATTCAATGGTGAACACTTTCTCCAAGTTAATGGAACAGCAATGGGAACAAAGATGGCCCCGTCTTATGCCAATATTTTTATGGGGAAATTAGAACAGAGAATTCTCAATTCTTCTCTCTATCAACCCCTCTCTTGGTTCCGATTTATCGATGATATTGACATGAAGTGGGATAATACTGAACAAGAACTAAATTTGTTCATTCAACATGCCAACGATGCCCATCCCTCAATAAAATTCACATATGAAATCTCTGACTCTAAGATCACATTTCTTGACACTACAACGCAAGTGAGGGATGGAAACATATTTACAGATCTGTATTGTAACCCCACAGACAAACACCAATATCTATCTCCTTTGAGTTGTCACCCTAAACATTGCACCAAGAGCATTCCCTACAGCCAGGCCATACGAATAAAAAGGATTTGCTCCACCAACGATATTGCAAAAAAACGACTACAAGAACTTCGCGGTCACCTAAAACACCGGGGCTACAAAAGAAAAGACATTGATAAAGGTTTTTCTCGTGCTAACAACATCAGCCGAGATGAACTTTTACAATATAAAGTCAAAAAGGTCAACAGGAGGGTGCCTTTTGTGTTGACTTACCATCCTAAATTTGACAACTTATCTCACCTAATCCGCGAAAATTGGAAAGAAATCGAAAAACATCCTAAACTATCCAAGATCTTTCCCGAGCCACCTGTACTGGCTTTCCGTAGGCCCAAAAGCCTTAAAGACTTGCTGGTGAGAGCTGATTTATCCTCTCAAGCAGGCTCTTCGTCTGTGGGCTCTTGCAAGGGTTGCGGAAACAAACGATGTCTGACTTGCAAACAAATACTGGTTACCCAGACTTTTAACAGTCACTCCACTGGTACAGAATACACCATATTTTGCAATGTTAATTGCAAGACTACAAATGTTGTGTATCTCCTACAGTGTAAATGTGGTAAACAGTATGTTGGCGAGTCAGAACAGCCGTTTCACAAACGAATGAACGGTCATCGTAGCGACTACCAATGCAAGCCAGACCTCCCTCTCAGTCGACATTTGAGATCCCCTGGCCACACTAAGGCAGATCTCAATCGACTGACCATTACAATCATTGACCACAACTCTGCTTGGTCTAGGGAGGATAGACTCACTCGGGAAAGATTTTGGATAAGAAAATTAACAACTTTGGCACCAAATGGGATAAATGAAAAGATGTAGTTCGACTCCATGCAGTGCTTCACATTTGGGTTGTATTACTTTTTATTACAGTCTCTGTTTTTATTTCTTTACCTTACTCATCTCTAAAATAAATCTGTTGAATATACCAATTTAAATTGCTTAATTTTTTGAGGGATGTAAAAGTACCAAGCCACGTTCAACTAGTTAACCTTAGTCAAAATTTATTATTATATTTTAACGGCCGTTTGTTTGCGATGTTTAAATACACAGACTCTGTTGCAACTACTCTACCGTTGTCAAATTTGAAATATTTACAAATTTAGATCGTTCAGTGCTGTTTATTTGGAATTCTTATTGACGCAATCGTTCTTGTAACATCATAACTGTCGTCACCGTTAAAGCTTTAGAATTGTGCTAGTTCATATCGCACATTATTATTTTTATTTAAAGCATATATTTGAACTCTCTGTTGTAATTAGTCATATAACCTATGTCGTGTTTAACACATATTTAGAATTGTGCAAGCGTCTTACCTGATGTTCGGTTTGACATTTTTATTGTATAAATTTCAAGATTTGTATAGTTTAATCTAAGTAGACTGATATATGATTCATTCAACATCACAATCATATTTACTGATGAAGGATATCTGTTATCCGAAATATTTATAAATAATTACATTTATAGTTCCTTTTTTTGTTATTGGTGTTGTTGTGTACACTTTTTAGGCGTTTATATAATTTATTTATTGTGTACGTGTATCGTTACTCGTAACGATCCAGCGCCCTTGTGGGAAAAATCGTTGACTATTATTCAGACGTTTTATATATATATATATATATATACAAGTCTAAATTGAAAACAACGTTCAAACCTATGATTGCGTTGGATAAAAACCGCAATTTTTATACGTGTGCATGCAAAACAAATTTCTTGTTAGAGGGGTCTAAATACAGCACAAACAACATTTTCCAAAAGACCAAAAAGTGAAAAAGTATATTTTAACAAAACGCATTTGACTAACAGGTCGAACAATGTTCTTAAACCCTGCTGACTGCCATTGGCGATTGCCAAATAAACGGATCACCGATGTAATAAATGGATCTTAAATATAAATTTAATACTAAACAGAAAACAATAAACTTGCGGAAAAGATGTTATACCGCAAACAAAAGGTGCAAAGGTTTTTGTACACCATATCCGGATTTCGACAATTAATGTCTCTTCAGTGATGTTAGGAATCGAAACGGTATTTGGAAAGCCATACAATTTACCTCAATTTAGGATAGACTCCTGAATTTTGAGGAGTCAAAATAGGATGAACGGATCATATAAACCCGAAGGCAAATATAATACAAGCCCAAACGAAAAAATATAAACAAGTCTAAATTGAAAACAACGTTCAAACCTATGATTGCGTTGGATAAAAACCGCAATTTTTATACGTGTGCATGCAAAACAAATTTCTTGTTAGAGGGGTCTAAATACAGCACAAACAACTAAAGTTGTTTGTGCTATATATATATATATATATATATATATTTGTTTTACATGCACACGTATAAAAATTGCGGTTTTTATCCAACGCAATCATAGGTTTGAACGTTGTTTTCAATTTAGACTTGTATATATATAGATATATAGAGAGGAATACACTTACCTAAACATGATTAAAAATTATTCAACACAAAACTAAAATACTG